AATCGGCATGGCAGAAAAAAGAACAAAGGAACGGAAAAATCCCAACACATTTATATGACAGAAAGGAAAAATCCTTGCGGGATGAGTAACAAGGAAAGAGAAGAAGAGGAACATAAATGCATATTTACAATCATATAGATAGACAGGTTCTTTTATACAAACTAAAATCACAAAAAAAGTGCCTAAACAAAGCTCTTATACGTCGATTCGACTGTACATACATATATATAGATATAAATATTTGTAAATTACTTGTTCCTATTTCATTATAACTTTTCATAGCATGACATTTGATTTGTACCATGCATGCAAGAATTATAAAAATAATTTGATCAAGATAAGTGAGCTTGACGCTGCGTAAGCTACAAAGTAGTCTAAACGTCGTTGCAAGCTTTTTGAAGTCCATATTATATCTAACAATATTTCTAGGTGTTTCTTAAAGTACTTCTGAAGTTCTTTTCATATAATGCCTTATACGAGTTTCAAAAAAAATTTCTGAACTTCCTTAGAATCATAAAAATCAATAAAAAAATTTCTGTATCCAAGAAAACTTTGGAAATGAAATCAATCTGTGAAAAATAAACGGTATGCCAGAATTCTAAACTAGATTCCCAAAAAATATGTGAATCTAAAAAATGTGTTAGTTCTTTTTTTCTTTTTTCAAACTGAGACATATATGTGCATGTATTATGAACGTAAGAAGGTGTAAAACGTGTGCTTTTTGCTTCATCATATTTTTTTAATATAGTTGATATATAACAAAAAAACGAAAAGACTTTTATGATCACTCTAATCCAATAAATAGTTATTTAGTTATATCAATTTAAACATTGTTGAATATAATGAATTGATAAAAACATTATTATTTTGGTTTTTGTCTGTTCTCAGTAAAGGATATCATAGGTTACACGTGGTGACCACATATATACAATAATTTAACTTTTAATATATATGAGTATGACAGAATAGAACGAAAAAATCATTTAATAGAACTACCTGATCTATTTTGTTTGACCTTATAAACATCTGGAAAAAAATCTATTTAAAACTAAAAATCAGTGTACTATCGTTGAAGTTAAAATTTACATATAAATAGATATATGAAAGTGTTTTGAATACATTCTTGACGGAATTAGGTAAAGTATTTCGAACAGGTAATATTCACACGACTACAGATTATTATTCTATCGAACGACAAAATATTTTAGCTTCTGTGTATTTTATCCAATAAATATTTATTTTCACATATATATTTTTTTTGTATATGCCACGTGCGTTTACTTTTTTTTTCTTTTCTGATGTAATACAAAAAAATGTGACTTGAAATCTATATTGCGCATTTGTGTTTCGAATATGTAATAACACACATATATATATATAATAAAAATATGATAGCATACGAGTTTCATCATGATAGAAAAATCGAGTAAGTAGAATCACTAGTCTATTTGATTTTTTTTGTATGAAGTATAAATGTAATTAGTATGGATTTTGATTTCATTACTTTAATTATAAATAAAACATAATTCAATACATTCTTCAAATATCATTTTTATTTCAAAGTCAGCTTTTAGAAAGCATCTTGACATTATCGTCTATAGAAAAAAAGACATAAAAAAATAAAAGGTTCATTAATTAATGAGATAAGAAAAATTATCAGAAGATTAGCATTATAAATAATAGAATAATTTAACTAAGATTACAAATACTGAATTGATTCTAATCAAAATACACCTTTAGCTTTGAATTTTCTTTCTTGAATTCGTTTTTGAGATATTGTATTTCGTTTAGAAGAAAGCTATTATTTCGTAAATATAAATGAGCTAACTTCGTCATATTAAACATATCTGTAGGGAGATTATGTAACTGATTGTGATCAAGTTGGAGTCGAGAAAGAGTACGAAGATGTCCAATTTCTGGTCCAATTGATTGAATACTATTGTTATCAAATTCAAAAGTTTGGCTTTTATTTGCTTTATTACTTAATGTTTCAATACCAGAAAGACTTGTTAGATTATTGTAAGACATAAATAAATCCTTTAATTTTGGTAAATTACGAGGAAGATCTTGAATTGAACAATTTCTTGCAACTAAGATTTGAAGAGCAGGTAGACCATCAATCGTTTTTATAGAGCGAAGATATGGATTCTTTATTAATGTTATTTCTACTAATGATTTAAGATTCGATATAGTTTTTGGTAATTCTTCTAAATTAGTATAGGATATTAATAAATCTGTTAAAGAAGATAGATTGTCAATTATATCAGGAAGAAATGTAAGATTAACATGAGATATTTTTAATGTTTTAAGTTTTTCTAATTTAATAATTTGTTCTGGTAAATATTCCATCTTACCATTGATTTGTTTTGTCGAATCACAAAAATATGAATTATTTATAATTAATTTTTCTAAATTTTTTAAACAAAAAATAATCGATGGAATGCAGGTTTTTTGATTAATAATTTCTATAGAATTAATTCTACCATTCGTCATTAATCCATATGTCATTGAAGGTTTCGGTAACATTGGATTAGATTGAACAGGAAATGGAAATAATTTAATAATATCGGAGTCAGTTTTCTTTTGAGAACAATAGATTTCTTGAGTATTTTTTAATTTACCTACATGAATCGGATTTGCATTAATAATGAATTGGACTTGTAATAAATATATCAATTGCAGAATATAAAATATCTTCATTTGCATTATTATTGATATTGTGTAATAAGTTTTTATTGGACTATATGAAAATAAGAAAATTTTGTATTGACTATGATAAAGTGGTTTTATCAATTATATTTAGGTAACACTATTACTAATAAGTAGCTGGAAAATACCAACAAATAAAGAAAAAATAAAATAATAAAAAAAATATCGATATGTTTTAATTTATAAGATGGGAGTACATCATATGTGCTTCAGTCTTCTATAAGGTTATTGTAACTCATAGAGAAGAAGGAATTGAATACATGTAGATTAATAAGAATATTAAAAAATATTCCGCGAAAGATGAAAATATCAATTAAAATAAAGGGTCAAAGGTAAAATGTTGGAACTTTCCAAGTATTTCTTTATCAATATTAATTATCGCCGATAAGGAACCAATCTTTTCTTTTTATCAAAGCGTTTTATGAATTGGTCTGACGTCATTGATTCTGATTCATCTCGTCATTACCTTGACTTGACAAATCTAACAGACACACCTGGATAGAGAACAACATATGAATTTTTTACGTGTACAAAGATTTCAAGCATTTAATCAGTATAGAAGTGCTTATTTCGAGGAACATTTATTTGGAAAAAACCCACTTAGTTAATCTCATGACGAAGGAAATGATGTCATATCGAAAAATCAGCACGCACTGCCATATATTGAATGCGTGAAAACTAAGAATATATGTCACAAGGTATACAAAAAAAGTGCTTCCGTTCTATATAAAATAATCAATCGAAAAAACAACATAATAGGGCTGCATCATACACAGGTACACAATGACCCGTTTTTAGAGATTCTTCATTATTTATTTTTCGACCCTGAAAATGGGAGGTCGTATATTTCACTTCCTTAATATTTTGAAATCAATATAACATAGAATTATTGTCAATTTAATTTATTTTGAATATTAAAAAAAATGAGATCATAAGATATCGAAACAAAAAAAATGCCGATGTCAAAAATTAAGTGTATCGAATTAACAAGATTTTTTAGAAGAATAACACAGTCTTAATTTCGGATGTGTACGGTGGAATCTAGCAACCATTTCTTGTAGATCTTTATCACTAAAATCATTGTTTTGAATATATAAAGTTTGTAATGTTGAAATTTCGTAAATATCCATTGGTAAAATATATAATTTATTGTAATTAAGATTGAGAAAATTAAGATTATTCACTTGACGAATATGTGGTGATAAATAACGAATAGAATTATTGTCAAAGAAAAACAATTTTTTCTTATTTGTTTTATTACCTAATGTATGAATGTTAGAGAGATGTGTCAGACTATTGTTGGACATATATAAATTTATTAGTTGTGGTAAATTGAGAGGAATACGTTCAATTTGGCAATTATCTGCTTGCAAGAATTTTAAACTGGAATGTCCGTTGAGAGCTTGTATTGATCGAAGATCTGGATTATTATCTAATACCAACGTTTGTAATGAAAGAGTATTTATAATGGTTAATGGTAATGAGACTAATTTATTATCACGTAAATCTAAATAAGTTAATGATGACAATTTACCAATTGAATTGGGAAGATTTGTAAGACCCGTATTCAATAATTTGAGCTCTTTAAGATGTATCAATCTACCAAATTGTTCGGGAAGATAACGAATAGGTGTATCAGAAATAGTAAGATATTTGAGTGTTGATGCTAAACGTTCGATTGCAATTGGTAATCCAAGATCAAAAGTACGAAATTTTGTTTTATGTACATATAATTCTCGTAATTCTGTTAAACAAAAAACCGCTGGTGGAACATATTCTTGTTTGTTAATATTTAACACAACAATATTTCCATGTGCATTTTTTACTGCATAAGTTTCTGAAGCGGCTCTTTTTGATGAATGAAAATCAAGTTCAAATGGAAATGATTTATAAACTTCATCATCATTTGCATATTTAGTACAATCAGGTGATGAATATTCTTGGAGAAAATTTCGAAAAACTAAAAAACAAATAAGATTAATACATACATATATATGTATAACTTACTTGTTCCTATTTCATTATAACTTCCCATAGCATAACATTTCATTTGTACTATACATGCAAGAGTTATAAAAATAATTTGTAATTTCATTTTGTTGTTGTTTTCAAAAAAAAATAATATAATGTTCAAAATTTTTACTATTAATCGTGTTGTCAGGGAGAGTATTTTATCTAAAAAATATTTTGATTTAATAATCTGAAAAAATGAATACTATCGCGACTTAATATACTCAAACAGAAACGAAAGAGATTAATTCAGTGACTTATGTTTTGATAAAGAAAATAAAATGGTGTTACTCAAATATTATGCAATTTTTTGATATATTTCAATCACGGAATTTTCCATGTTTACCTATCACATATTATTTTAACCGAAAAGTGCATATGACGTCAAGATAACATATGTATATTGTATGATTTATTGTTTTTCAATTGAATCAACAATATATATATGTAATGACTAGAAAGAAGAAAAAAAAGGTGAAATAGAGAATATTTTCCTGTTATGTTTTATATAACTTTATATGACTCATTAGATTTTAAAAAAAGATGTATCATTCTCTTCTTCTATAAGAGTGAATAATTGAATTCTAATAGATATAGTCTCGTCACACAGATGGGTGGCGTGAGTCAACCAACATTGGGGGAGTGTAGCAAAAACTTTTGAATTTGGGGGGGGGGGGGGTTACACCTCCCTGGTCGCGCCACCCCTGGTCACACAATCGAAAACATTTATTTTTTTAAAGTTATTTGTCTAGTATCGTTCTTTGATTCAATATTTATGTCTTTTTTTTCGTTATAAAGAAGAAAAAAACCGCCTCAGTTCTTTTTCTTTTTTCGAACAAACATTACATGTCCACGTGTTACGAAGGTATAAAAAACGTGTTCTTTTTGCTTCGTCATATTTTTTTAATATAGCTAATATATAACAAAAAAAAACGAAAAGATTTTTATGATCATTCTAATCCAATAAATAGATATTTAGGTATATCAATCTAAACATTATTGAATATGTTAAATTGATAAAAATATTATTATTTTGGTTCTTATTTATTCTCAGTAAAGGATATTATATGTTATACGTGGTGAACACATATACAATAATTGAAATTTTAATATATGAGTACGACGAGATAAAACTAAAAAATGATCTCATAGAATTACCTGATTTATTTGCTTTGATGTTATAAACATATGAAAACAAGACACCCTTCATGCATTTGCAAGCTCTGATTACTGTTGAAAAAAAAAGAACTGTATGACATCGTATTATCGTAGCTTTTTATGTGTAAATTATAGTGAGAGGGAGTGTACTTTGCAGGCGCAAAAAAAATCAACTCCGATTGCTCAGTTCACTAGCCAAAGGTAAACAACATTTTCAATTGCGACAATATATTTTTATTTTATTTAGTGTCAGTTTTGTATATTTTTTTTTCTTTTTCTTATGTATTTCAAGAGAAATACAAAAAAGACTACAGTGACTAATGGAAATGATTCATCTGAATCTTTTGAAAATTTCAGACGACAGAATAAATGATTATGTCTAAATATACGAATCAATAAATTTATTATTCTCATAATCTATACAGTTTTTCAACTAATGTTATTGTTTAAAGCAAAAACAAATAGCACAAAAAAAATAATATCACAGAAAACTAACAAAATGATTTACTATAAAAAAAATGTATCACATCCGTAAGGTCATTACGTCAGTTTATTGATGAGAAGTTTACTCATGAAGTTATTTGACTCTTATAACATATCTTTAGAGATGGATTGTTAGTTTTAAACTTAGAAATAATTGTTGCCAATTCAATATTACCAAAACGATTGCTTTGAATATATAAATAACGAAGTGTATTCATATAAAGAATACTCGATGGCATATTATTCAATTGATTTCCATTAAGATTGAGAGAATAAAGATTCTTAACATACCGAATTTGTGGTGTAATAGATTGTATACGATTTTGATCAAAATAAAAAAATTTTCTAGCATCTGTTGCATGACCTAACGCTTGAATACTTCTAAGATTTTTTAAATTATTATTCGACATATATAAATCAGTTAGTTGTGGTATATTAATAGGAAGATTTTCGATTGAACAATTCTTTGCTTCTATATATTTTACAGAAGGATGACCATTAAGTGATTGTATGGAATGAAGATTTGGATTATTATTTAATACAATGTGTCGTAATTTTGAATTATTAACAATAGTTATTGGTAATAATGTCAGCATATTATTCGGTAAAGACAAAAACTTTAATAATAAAAAATTACCAATAAAATCTGGAAGAATTATAAGACTAGTATTGGAAAATTGTATTGTTTCTAATTTTCGTAATTTACTCATTTCATTTGGCAAATGAGTAATGATAGTATCATAGATACCTATCTCGGTTAGTGTAGGTGCAAGATATTGAATTTCTGCTGGTATTGTATTATTGACATTCTGAAAACTTGTTTTTCGTACATCAAGTTTTTGTAAATGTTTGAAACAAAAACCAGAAGATGGAAAATATGTTTCATTAAAAATATTTAAATAATAAAGATTACCATCAACATCTAATAAACCATATGTTATTATGGAATGTTCTATGATTGGATTAAGTTCAACTTTAAATGGAAATGATCGAAGAATATCATCGTCAGTTTGAAATTTTGAACAATTAAACAATAAATCTGACTGAAAAGCATCTTGAGTTCCTATAATATAAACAGAATTTACATATATATTTTAAGTAAAAAAATTTATAAATTACCTTTTTGTTGTTGATAAAAATTAACCGAAGCCGTTTCATAAAAGGATAACAAAGATATAACCATTAACATTACTGTTGAAACATGCATTGTGTCAAAATTTGTCATTAATAAATTATGTCCTGTTTATTTAAAGAGCAAGACTATATATACGGCAATGGTGATGTAATAGTTAATCATCGACAAATTTCCGTTGGAAAAATCCAAGCGGATTTCTTGCACCGTCTTACGCAAGTGTGATTGTGCTGTGTCATTATATCGATAAGAAATTTTATAGAATAATCAATAGATAAAATATTTAATTGAAAATATAAATCATAGGATAATAAGTCAAATTGCATTTGAATATTAAAATGATAAACGAGTACGAATATTTTTTTGTTATAATTTTTTCCCAGCGGATAATGTGAATCACATGAATTAGTCATTTCAAAAAAAACCCAGTTGAGCAATTTTAAAAAAAAACGTTCTCAAGGCGAGGGCATCAGATACAAAATCATTTACAAACAACATGATCTGATTTATACTAATATACTTTCATTGAATATATCACAAATTTTTTCTTTAACTACATGTTTATCATTCACGATATCTCTAAATTTAATTATACAAAATGATTCAAACTATCACTAATACATTTTTTTTGTTTATCAAACTTATTCACATTATATATTAAAATGTATGTGTTTTACGGATGATACAATACATATTCTTTTTAATTGTTAGGTTACAGCATATTTTACTTTATTGTGCAATTTTTAATAAAGAAAAAATTGAAGGATTTACAATGTTATGATTTTTCTTTAGTTTTTCATATTGACGAGATTTAAATGTACTGAGAAGCATTTGTTAATTTTTAGTCGAGAAAATAAATATATAAAAACACTATTTTGCTTTGTGGATCAATATAGTAATATATTATATTTTATTTTTTTTTTTTTGATTCTTTTACAAGACAAATTTCAGTTAAGAGGAAACATCAAATTATTTACTACATAGAGGATTGTCTATAATCAATAAACTACATACACTCATGTTAGATCACAAATAATTTATCATATGAATCGAAACTTTTTTCACGATTGTACATACTCTGAATGTGGTATTTATTCTCTCTGATTATATTTGTATTCAAGATATTTTATAATTTTCATAACAACTAGATGATTGATAAAAAAAGTGTTGTAAAACTATTGATATAATATTTATTTTTTAACATAAAAGATTTAAACTCAAGAATTTATTGAAATAGAAGAAAGAATCAGGATTATTAGTATTTCAGAAATGAAGAAGGAATATACTATAGAATTTCATTAGATAGATTCTATTGTAAAATCTTTCGCAGGTTAGTATTTGAAATCTAAATTTGGATTTGTTGTTTTAAATTTAGCAGCAATTGTTTGTAAATCAGTAATACTAAAACGATTATTACGAATATATAAATAGTGAAGTGTAGTAACATTTAGAAGTTCTGAAGGTAAATTAGTCAATTCATTATAGTCGAGATCGAGTTCAACTAGATTGCGTACATAACCAACTTGTGGTGGAACAGAACGAATACGATTCGCGGAGAAATAGAAAGATTTAGGAAGATTCGTGTTATTACCCAATGTTCTAATATTAACAAGATCTGTTAGATTATTATGCCGCATGTTTAAGTGCTGCAAATTTGGTAAATTAGATGGCAGACGCTCGATTGAACAATAAGTTGTGATTATGCTTTGAAGATTTGGAAGACCGTTGAGGGATTGCACTGAACGTAATTGTGGATTTCCATCTAATTTTACAAGGAGCAAATTTTGAAGGTTTCCAAGGGTTATCGGTAACGATGTTAGTTTATTCCAAGGCAAACGCAGGTCTAGTAGTGAAGATAAATCACCAATAGAATTTGGAACATCAAGAAGACCGGTATTGGACAATTCTAGATAGTATAGAGTTCTTAATTTGCCTATCTGTTCAGGCAAATGAGCAACTGGAGTATCATAAATAGCGAAATGTGTAAGTGATGTTGCAAGCATCTCAATTTCAGAAGGAAGTGCACGAATAGAATTGTCATCTAATTCAAATTCATAGAAACTCGTCTTTTGTATGTATAATTCTCGCAAAGATTTTAAACAAAAAACAGTAAGTGGAACAAGTTTTTGATTAACAATTTGTAACTTGTAAATATTTTCATTCGAATCCATCAAACCATAAGTTTGTGATGAAGATAATAATATTGGATTAAGGTGAGTAACAAATGAAAATGATGAAAGAATTTCATAATCATTATTAAATTGAGTACAATCAAGTGGTGAATGAATTCGTGAAATAAATCGAGCATCTAAAGTATCGATTGATTTTTAATTCATATTATTCAATTATAATTTGAACTCACCTGGTTGTACTTCAGTTAAACTTCTAGCAACTATCCATTTGCTTTGTAAGAGACATATTAATACTATAAACCATCGTATAGATTTTATTGATTTCATCGATATATGAGACTCTCTACTGATGTATTTAATATTCACTTAAAACAAATGAAAATATTGAAACGGCTGAGGCTGTTATATACTGAAGATGAAAAGCTGATACGATTTTCGCTGAAACTATGTGAAAAAGAACATACTGATAATGTAAGAGGTTATCTTTGATAAAAAATATAAATAGGTATTATGAATTAAAACATATTGCGTGCACGATTTGCTTTCCGTTGACTATTTAGACCATACGAAATGAGTAATGAATATTCATTTGCAACAATCAATACAATGAGGAAATGATTCTCAATTTCAAGAGTATGAGACGACTTGGAAACTCCAATTCTGAGACGTTGAAAAAAACAATATTATATGTGATGAGTACTTGATGAAATTGTCACAACGTTACGATGAATGTCGCACTGATATTACAGCGTTCTTAAAAGCAGCTGGACTCAGATATTACCAACGATCATCTATAAAATAAACAACTATCTTTCTTTGTTTATCTGTTATTTATTCATATATTTATTGAACATCTGCTATGAGAATACATTGATTACCGCTATGACTATACTCATTACTCATTTGATAAGGTCTAAATAATCAAAGGAAAGTAAATCCTCGACAATGAAAATAATTTTTATCGAAAATAATCAATGAAAAGTAAGTCCGCAAAAATTAAATCGTGTAAACTAGTATATTTGTATTCTAGATATTTAAAAGTTTTTATAAAAACTAGATGATTGATAAAAAAGAATTGCAAATCTAGTGATATAGTATTTATTTTTAAACATAAAAGATTTAAACTTAAAAATTTATTGAAATAAAAAGAAAGGATTAAGATTAAGTATTTCGGATATGAAGAATGAATAGACTCTAAAGTTTTATTAGATAGATTTTATTCTAATATGTTTCTCAGATTAATATTGTAAAGTTAAATCTGGATTTGTTGTATTGAATTGATGAGCAATTGTTTGTAAATCAGTAATACTAAAACGATTATTACGAATAAATAAATCATGAAGTGTAGCAACATTAAGAAGATCTGAAGGTAAACTAGACAATTCATTATAGTCGAGATCGAGTCGATATAGATTACGTACATAACCAATTTGTGGTGGAACAGAATGAATACGATTCTTGGAAAAATAAAAAAATTTATTGAGATTCGAATTATTACCCAATGTTCGAATATTAACAAGATCTGTTAGATTATTAGCATGCATATATAAGAGGTGCTGATCTGGTAAATTAGATGGAAGACGCTCGATTGGGCAGTAATGTGTGTGTAAGGTTTGAAGTTTTGGAAGACCATTGAGAGATTGCACTGAACGTAATTGTGTATTAATTTCTATCCTTACAGTGATCAAATTGGGAAGGTTTCCAAGAGTTGCCGGTAACGATGTTAGTTTGTTGGAAGGAAGTAGCAAATGTGTTAGTGAAGATAAATCACCAATAGAATTTGGAACATCAAGAAGACCAGTATTGGACAATTCGAGTACCCGTAGATTTTTCAATTTGCCTATTTGTTCAGGCAAATGAGCAACTAGAGTATTATAAACATACAAATATTTGAGTGATGATGCACGCAACGCAATTTCAGAAGGAAGTGTGCGAATAGAATTATCGTCTAATTGAAATTCATAAAAACTCGTATTTGTTATATTTAATTCTCCCAAAGACTTTAAACAAAAAACAGTGAGTGGAACAAATTTTTGATTAACAATAATTAACTTGTAAACTCTTTCATTCGAATCCATTAAACCATAAGTTTGTAGCGGAGATGATGATATTGGATTAAGATGAGTAACAAATGAAAATGACGAAAGAATTTCATAATCATCATTGTATTGAGTACAATCAAGTGGTGAATGAATTCGTGAAATAAATCGAGCATCTATAATATCGATTAATTTTTAATTCATATTATTGAATAATAATTTGAACTAACCTGGTTGTACTTCAGTTAAACTTCCAGCAATAATCCATTGGCTATGCAACAGACATATCAATAAAACAAATAATATTGAAAATTTTATTGGTTTCATCGGTATATGACACTTTCTAATGATGTCTTTAGTATTTGCTTTAAAAAAATGAAAATACTGATACGACTGAGGCTTTTATACCAATGGTGCAAGACTGATATGATTTTCGCTGAAACTATGTGAAAAATAACACACTTATAGCATAGGAAGTTATTTTTGAGAAAAAATAAATAAGTATTATAAAATAAAACACGTCGAGTGCACGATTTACTTCCCGCTGACTATTTAGACCATACGAAATGAGTAATGAGTATTCATTGCAGCAGTCACTGTACTGAGGGAATGATTTTCAATTTCAGGAGTATAAGACGACTTAGAATCTCCACTTCTGAGACGTCGAAAAAAACAATGTTATATCTGATGAGTGTTTAATGAAATTGTGGCAACGTTAGGATGAAAGCCGTACTGATATTGCAGCGCTCTTAAAAGCTGCTGAACTCAGATATTTTCAACATCCATCAAGAAAATAACCAATTATCTCTCTGTTTTTCTGTTGTTTATTCATTTATTTATTGAACTTATGTTCTGAGGATACATTGACTGTTGCTATGACTATACTCATTACTCATTTGGTAAGGTCTAAATCATTAACGGAAAGTAAATCCTCGATAATGAGAATAATATTTATCGAAAATAATCCATGAAAAGTAAGTCCGCAAAAAGAAAATCGTGTGAACCAGTATATTTGTATTCCAGATATTTAAAAGTTTTATAACAACTAGATGATTGATAATAGAAGATATATAAGACTATTGATATAATATTTATTTCTAAACATAAAACATTTAAACTTAAGAATTTATTAAAATAAAAAGAAAGAATCAATATTAAGTATTTCAGATATGAAGCATGAATATACTATAGAGTTTTATTAGATAGATTTTATTGTGAAATCTTTCTCAAATTAATATTGTAAAGTTAAATCTGGATTTGTTGTATTGAATTTAGCAGCAATTATTTGTAAATTAGTAATACTAAAACGATTACTACGAATATCTAAACGATGAAGTGTAGTAACATCAAGGAGATCTGAAGGTAAACTAGCCAATTTATTATGGCTCAAGCCGAAGATACTTAGATCACGTACATGACCAATTTGTGGTGGAACAGAACGAATACGATTCATGGAAAAATAGAAATATTTAGGACATCCATATTATTACCCAATGTTCTAATATTAATAAGGTCTGTTAGATTATTATTCGACATGTTTAAGACGTTTAGCTTTGGTAAATTGGATGGAATACGCTCGACTGAACAATTCAGTGTATATAAGGTTCGAAGTTGTGAAAGACCGTTGAGGGATTGCACTGAACGTAATTGTGGATTACTATTTAAATCCATATGGACCAAATTTCGAAGATTTCCAAGAGTTGTCGGCAACGATGTTAGTTTGTTTAGTGCCAAATACAGGTGTGTTAGTGAAGATAAATTCCCAATTGAATTTGAAAGATCAAGAAGACCAATATTGACCAATTGGAGTACTTGTAGATTTCTTAATTTTTCTATCTGTTCAGGCAAATGAGCAACTGGAGTATCATAAACATGAAAAATTTTGAGTGATGATGCAAGCAATTCAATTTCAGAAGGAAGTGCACGAACAGAATTATCATCTAACTCAAATTCAAAAAAACTCGTATTTCGTATGTATAATTCTCGCAAAGATTTTAAACAAAAAATAGTAGTTGGAATAAATTTTTGATTAACAATTTGTAACGTGTAAACATTATCATCCGAATCTATCATACCATAAGTCTGTGATGTAGATAATAATATTGGATTAAGATGAGTAACAAATGAAAATGATGAAAGAATTTCATAATCATCATTGAATTGAGTGCAATCAAGTGGTGAATGAATTCGTGAAATAAATCGACGATTTAAAGCATCGATTGATTGTTGATTGTTAATTCATATTATTCAATACTAATTTGAACTAACCTGGTTGTACTTCAGTTAAATTTCTAGCAATAATCCATTGGCTTTGTAGGAGACATATCAATACTGCGAATAATGTTGAAGATTTTATTGGTTTCATCGATATATGACTTTTTCTAGTGATGTATTTAATATTTAGTTAAAACAAATGAAAATACTGAAACGAGTGAGGCTTTTATATACTAATGGTGCAAGGCTGATACGATTCTTGCGAAAACTATGTGAAAAATAACACACTTATAGCGTAGGAGGTTATTTTTGAGAAAAAATATAAATACGTCTTATGAATTTAAAAATATTTATAACAAATCTATTACTAATGGCCTCTCTGAAACATGAATACCATATGACTCCGTAAAATCACAGATAAATTATATTCTATAAAATTTCAATTCGTTATAATCAATTGAATAAAACCATGCATCTGGTGAATTCGACTTATAACAGTCAGACGTTATATAACTCTTCTTGTGCCCAGTACTAGCAAATTATACTTCAATTCAGGTCAATAAAATGTTTTTAATCAGAAAAAAAAACAAAAAGAAAATAATACTGATCTTGTCCATAGATTCTCTCTATCTAATATAACGAACAATAAAAATAACAAGAACTATAACAAACAAACAAAAAAAAGGAAGAAGTTAAGTCTCTCATTTAGTTCAATAAAAATATTCAACTAAGAATTTTCGATCGTTCACGATATGCAACCCACCAAACAACTCCAAAAGCACTAACAGCAAAGAATTCACTGGGTAACCATGGACCATAACTTACACCCTATGATAAAATCATAAATTAATTTTCATATTCAAATAAAATAAAATCTTACTGGATGATTTAATTCAACTTGACCAAATGGTTTAACTGCTTTTACTGCTTCATCTGTACGAGCCTAGAAAAAAAACAAATTTTTATTAAAAACTCTATGAAATTTAAATTTCATTTTCTTACTTTACGTAAAGATGAATATGATTCGTCATCATATAATTTAATAGCTGTACGTCCTTTTGCTAATTCTTTATGTGTAGCAGCTGCGACACCAACCTATAGAGAAAAATAAACTTTCTTGTCTCTATTTACACTTAATATATATGGTATTCTTACAAAGTATTTTCCAGGTGATGTAGCTGATTGAGCACAGGGAACAACTTGTCCATTAATATCTGCATATAATGTACTTGGCTAAATATGAAAAGATCTTTAGTGTTTTTTTTTGAAAAATAAAAAATTCTATAACAAACTTGTTTTCCACTTTTGCATTTAACTGTGATTTCAACTTGAGCTGCTGGTTCAACTGTTAATCTTCCATCTCTTGTTGAATGTGAAACACCTTTAAATTGTGGAGATTCACAACTTTCACCTGAATTCAAATTACAGAAAAATCAATTTTATAAAACAATATCTTCGATTTATTTTACCGTTAACAAAAGCGAATAAAGCAAGAGCAGCTACTATAAGACGAAACATGTTTCTAAAAGTAAAACCAACGACTGACGTGGACAATTTATTTCTGATAAAATTAATAAAATACATACATGTTTTTCATTGGTAGATTTCTATTTGGACAATAGATGGCGAAATAAATATTTTCGAAAAACAATTTTTTTTTCATTTATTAATTCAAAATTTTTAATTTCTAATCAAGAAAAAAATTAAAAAAATTTTTATCTTAATGATTAGTTTATATAAACCAATCGATAAAGTCCAGAGAAAAAGAAGAAAAAAATGAATTGGTTTTGTCGTTCTTTTTGTTTCTTCAATAAATAAACGAATAAGATGAATATTATCGCTCAATGTTCATTTCTAATCCTTTTATTTGATCTAATATCAAGTAATCAAGACGCAGTGACATGTAGTTCAACATTTAAATTAATCAATCAACAATCAAATGATAGACTTCATTCACATGACGTTAAATATGGTTCCGGCAGTGGACAACAAGTAAGTCAATAAATGTTCCCTTTTTTTTATTTTTCTTTAATTTTATATTTTGTAGTCTGTCACTGGTACTCCAAATGCAGATGATGTGAATAGTTATTGGCAAATTGATGGCAACGATTGTGAACGAGGGTAATTGCATATAGAAATATTCTAATTTTTTTATTATTCTAAATATTTTAGAACTCCAATTAAATGTGATAGTACAGTACGGTTAATTCATGTGACGACAAAAAAAAATTTACATAGTCATAATTTTGCTTCACCATTATCACACAATCAAGAAGTATCGGCTTATGGTGAAGATGGTGCTGGCGATGAAGGTGATCAATGGAGAGTTGTTTGTACAACTAGAAATGATTATTGGTTGAGAAAAGATGGTATTAGATTACAACATGTTGCGACTGGAAAGTAAGTTTCACGTACTAATCGAGATTCTCATTTTCCGTGAGTAGAATAATTTTAATCGAAATTAATCTACAGTTACGATAACTTTCATACGAGACTATGTGATAAGAATGAGTTGTTTTTTTGTTTTTTAGATATCTTCATATAACCGGTGATACTTATGGTCGACCAATTCATGGTCAAAAAGAAATCTGTTGTTATCAATATGCTAATAGTCAAAATATCTGGAAAGTTGATGCTGGTGTTTATATGCAACCATCAACTGAACCATTATCATCAACTCGAGATGATCAGTCTAATTCACGTCCGCAATCATCATCAAATACTGATCATTTTGATGATGAACTTTAAAATTGATATCAAAAAACAAAATTATGATTGTTTTAGGTGAAATTATTTATTGTTTTTTAAATTAACATGCAATAAAAAACATAGCAATTCGTTTTTTTTTACTACTACTTCAAATTGTATGTTCGATGACATTCCTCCCCTTAAGTTCATTGTTTGATTAAGATTTAATCTAAGTATTATTCGTCTTTCCTTTCCTTCCTTTCTTTTTCTTCTCATGTTAAATCTATAGACATATCATAAAGTCATTTTAGATTTGTTTGTGTGTGTGTGCGTGTGTGCGTGAATGTGTACATAGAATAAGAAGCAACAAAAAAAACAACACGACAAATTTTTCAATATACAATGCCATCATTATTTGGCAAAAGTCATTTATATCGTTATGATATTCAAGGTGGTGCCAAAAGTCATTATCTTGTTTTTGTTCATTTACCATGTTTACAAACACATCTTAAACATTTATATCATTTATCATTATTACCATTTAATGACTATGAACAAGAAACTATTGAATGTTTAATGAATTATAATAGTTTAACAATTGATTGTATTAATTATCTTTTACAACGGCTTCATATACGAGATGAAAAATTATCGAATTGTTTTGCATTATCTTATTTTAACAAAATAAATAATCAATCTTATTGGCTTGATCCTGATATATCAATGAAACAGCAGTTACCAAAATCTGAATTAAAACCTAATTTAACATTTACAATTTTACTCTATCCACCGGTGCCCTATGCAATAACAGACGAAAAAGCTCGGTAAATATATATATAGAATTATGGAATTGAACAATAAGAGACATAAATTATTTTGTCTGACGGGACTTGTCACTTGTTTAGTACATCATGATGTAATTAGATTCTGTTACATTTGCAATTTCGATTCCGACTAGTTCGATATACTTTAAATGAATGAAATAAGATAATCATCTCATTGTCGGATTCTGTATACATTCAAAATAGAAAATGATTAACGAAAGAGACATTTCGCATCAACTGTTCATTACGATTTCCCGACATACAAGATCTTCGGAATGACAAAAGGATGTCGGTGTATAAGTTATTCTTCTCTCATAATACACAGACACACCCACACCCACCCTTCCGGACACCGGATGTTATCTTTCATATTTTTATCTATTAATTTCATTTTAGTCGAATTCTTTATCAACAAATCTTCTGTAATTTTATTTCATCAATGTATCCTGTACCAACAAATCTTATTGAAACACTTTCAGCTTATTTTCTTCAAGGTAAAACTTTCTTTTTCTGAATAAAAATGATTATTTTATTAATATTAAAGGATGTTTTGAAAATAAATTTGATGCTGATAAAAATCGTGATATTCTTCGATTAATTATATCAGCAGTAAGATATGATTAATATTGTTGTTATTTTTAATAAATAAATTATTATTGTTAAGGTTGGTCTTTCAGAAGAAAATACGGATGGAATAAAAGAGAAAATTATTGAATTATATCGAGAT